GCATCCACTTTAAAAACTCTTCGGAGATAAACAAATTTCTACTTTCTCAGGGGAATTATTGGCCGGTCAGTACAAATTTAGACATATGTAAAATTTAAGACAAAACTTGGGAACTTAACTCAAATAAGAAACCAATCAACAGTTGTTTGTAAAGTAATCTTTCAGACGCCGAGCTTCATTAGCTTAAGTTAATCTGCTGATTTCTTAATTGTGGCAAAATTTAGGGAATCTTTCAGCTTCAGACTGGCTTAAATTATCAGTATTTTGTATTTGCTTTGGTTGCATACTAGTTAACGTTTCAGATACGGCACGGCATAAAGAGACTGATTTCAGAATCCGAATTCTGACTAATCCAACCTCGAAATTCCTGACTGTCCCAAAGGCTGAGTGCAACTTCGTTACAACTTACAATAGCCGTGGCAATTTCTTTTTCCAAGTCACAAGTTAGATTTCTGAACTTGGTTATATCTTTTTTTGTCTCCTTTTTGCATGTCGTTTCAATTTTTAAGCGTTAAAAGGAAGCTCAAGCGTTTTCTTTATCCACCAGCCAGAGCAACACAACGCAGTCAAACAAATAAGGATAAAAACATTGGTATAGAGGTACACTTGAGGTACGTATCCTTTATATCTGCATATCTAGGTATATATATATACATATATGTAGGATAGGCGTTGGTACCTTGCTGTTGTCTGATCGTAGAAGTAAATGGATTTAATAACGCGCACGATAATACATGATATCTATGAGGCTCTGTAGCCCAGCTTGATTTCTAGGAAACTAGCGACGATATTTTCCACCTGGCAGAAAAACCTCACGAAGTATCTCAATTTATCCTTAAATACGGTATCTACAAAACAAAAAATTTGATATGTATCGTGACTGCTTTTATAATGACATATTAATCACATCAGATAACACGAAAAAGATGTGGGATAACATCAATTTATTGATAAATAAGAAGCGGCCAAGTTCTCACATAGATAAACTACAAGTCGATAATAAACATCATGAACAACCTTTAACTATCTCCAACTGCCTTAACGATTTTTATTGTAATGTCCCTTCTACACTAGCAGCACAACTGCCTAAATCTGATAAGAGTGCAACCTCTTATCTCTCTCAGAAACAAAAACAATTTCACTTCACACAAGTCTCTGAAATAGAGGTATTCTTATTACTGGAAAGTCTTGATACAAACAAGTCATTTGGGATTGACAAGATTCATCCACTGTTATTAAAAACTGCAGCACTTCAAATATACCGTCCCCTAACATTTATTTTTAATCTTTCCATCAACCAAGGTATTTTTCCTGATAGTTTGAAACTTGCTAAAGTTGTTCCAGTTTTTAAACAAGGCTCTCGTTTTGCATGTAGTAATTATCGACCTATCTCAGTTCTCTCATCCATAAGTAAAATATTTGAGAGATGTGTTACTGGTGTGCCTCATGGATCGATACTAGGACCTTTGCTGTTCACTATTTTCATTAATGACCTTCCGAAGTCTTCCACCTTTTTTTTCTACTAGATTATATGCTGACGATACATCTTTAACAGCTTCTGGAAGTGATCTTGACAGTTTATTGCGTGAAATTAACAATCATTTACCAGCTGTCGACGAATAGTTATGCAGTAATAAATAAGTTAAGTGTTGAAAATTCTGTTCTACGCATTTTTTCCTTTGTAAATCTTTATCTGATACTGTTATATCCGTTATATTTACATAATTATGTATAAGCTATGAATTGGAGGGATAAAAAAATAAATAAAAAATAAAAAACTTGATAACAGAACCTATTGAGTGTATTTTGATCAAAAAATATGCTTAAAGTGACATTACCTTATATTGTAAAGGTCCTAAGAGTAATTGTCTCTAAACTACCGAGAGAACCATCTGTTCAGAAGGTCGTCCTTGAATTTGAAAGAACTATGTGGTCAGCGACAAGATAGGTTCTGTCCGGAGTCCAGATAACCCAGTGCACTTTCCATTTCCACCCTACATTGGCTGAACCGATATTAGATCTCAAGCGCGACCCAGCGGAATTTTGCTTAATCAGTCAGATAGTCCGGCAAGTGTGGTGAGTGAGGGCGATAGCCCGACCAGCCCCGGGTCAGCTGAAGGTTCAGCAGAAAAAGACAAAAACTATACGACAAATGGCCGCAAGAAGAGCAAAGGGCTCTAGTAAGCCTATGGGCAAAACGTCTCTACTAGAGAGAAAAGACGCACGAAAAATGTGGGAAGAAATTGCGCGCGAGTTAAATCGCAAGTTTGGAACCAAGCGCACAAGTGATCAATGTAAAAAGAAGATGAATTATCTCATCGAGCTGTAAAAAATCGCCAATGAACATCAAACCATGATTCGGCTGCGCAAGGAATGGTCCACGTGTAAGGCGCAACACGAATTCTACGTAAATGCCGCTGTCTTCTTAGAAAAGCGACATTCAGGATTTGCATGTATTCATTTGCATTTGCTGCTGTTGCATGTCGATAATTTGTAGAAGTAGAGTGGCAATAGCAAAGCAAAGTGTCTGATTTGGGTTCATGTGCATTACCGCACAATACGCGCCAGAAATGAAATCTGATCGACTGTGTTCATTTTGACCTATTCTTGTATTTCGGTAGTGCGACCCAAAAATTGTGTCACATTTTTCGGCTCTTCCGGTTGCGGTTTCAACTTTTCGAAAATTTTTTGGTTGCCTAATTTTTGGTTTGGGCTGTTGTGCGACCTGGGCCTAACCTAGCACATATTTTTATTCATTCTCAAAATAGGACTAAAAATGTAGTTCACAAAAAAGGTCTGTCTTTTTCCACAAGCGTTGTGACTTCAGATCTCAAGCAAACAATTTGTCCTTTTAGCACAACTAACACTGGACACAGTTCTAAGGCCTGTTCCAAACGTCGTGCTACTGCCGTGCCGAACTCAAATGAAATAGTCATTTCGATTTAAGCACGGTAGTAGCGCGCCGTTTGAAACCATTAAGCGTGGCACGGCTGAATTAGGTTCAGCGGGACTACTTAGCAAGGCAGGCCTTACTGTGCCGCACGGCAGTAGCACGACTTGGTTTCAAACGTTGTGCTGCTGTCGCGCCGAACTCAATTCATAAATTAATTTATTGTATGTTGCATTATTTGCATACTATTACGCATGCGCACTAATAAAAAAAAAGACAAAATGGCGCCTTGGTGCAAAGATTTACCCGATTTGCCCGAAAGGTTGAGAGAAGAGGAATCCGACTGCGACAATAGCTCCACCGATGTTTCCCGAACTTTTTCAAAGAGATATTCACCTGAATCGTTCGACACCTATTCTCCTGATAACGAAAAAGAGACTGATTCAAACGAATCCGGCACGGGGGTTAGTGAACAGAGTGAACTGTGCAGCTCGAAGAAAAAGAAGCAAAAGAGATGGAGAAGCGTATGAGAAGAGCGATATATTTGCACGAACACGAAAAATTCGAACAACGCAGAAATACATGCTAATGTGCTCAAAGAATTGGACCAGAGACATGAAGATGGTAGCTTCCCGTTCTGCGTAGATCAGCTCAGGAACAAGTTCAAGAAATGCATATCTGAATGCTGAAAAATTGCATTGACTGTCAAGACTTCGACGGGCGTAAAAAGGGTTCAAGATCAAAAGCAGCTGGGAGCCTGGTTTAATCAACTATTTCCACTGGTCCAAACAAGGGATTCATGTAACCCTGACATGGCAGTAGAGCCTTCTTTGTCACTGCAGTTGTCTGACGGGGAGCCAGTGAAAAGAGCATCAGATAACAGAGCCCCCACTGATGAGCAATCAAGTGACGGTTTTCACCAAGGTGACGACTCTGACAAGAAACAATTTGTACCTATAAGGAAGGGTAGAAGAAAGAAAGTCAAATCTCAGAACTCTTCTAGTGCTTTGTCCACTGCTGTAGAGCTTTTTGAAAAAGTTGTTAATAATGACCCAACAACACAGCTGATATATTTTTTCAAAGAGGAAAATCAGCGAGCTCTTGAGCATGAATTAAAGTTAATGGAACTCTTCATGTCACAAAGACAGCCTGCAGCTAGTTATTCTGCAGGTTCATCCTCTATGATTTTCCAAGAAAGAAGCCCCGGCCCATTTGCAGGATCTAGTTATCGTGCAGGTTCATCCTCAATGATTTCCCCACAAAGAAGCCCCAGCCATTTGCATATACAACTCAAGATTTACTCTACAAGGAACTTCGACAGTGCCAGTTCTCAGAGAGTGAAGGGAAAAGGTATCACCAGTTGGAGAACAATGTTACAGAGTGGACATTAATGTTGATATTTCTTATATATTTCCTGACTTTATCCATGATCATCAATGTGAGGGATGGTTAATGTTTGTACTCCATTTAACTAGTACCACAGTTCAAGTTTATAACTTTTTTCAATTTTTAAAACTTGCTGCTTCTCTTGGTTAGAACTTTCATATTTAAATTTTAAAGTACAGTCAATCTCATGATTGTACCATTGCGTTTCTTTGTGACAAAATGGTGCATTATGTAGGAATAAACAGACAAATTACATCCAGTTCATTTCAAAGGGAAAATGGTTTTTATTTTTTCATCAACAACATAACAAACATCAAATACATTCAGTAGTAAAGAAAATAAAACATCTTTTTTTAATAAGCAACTCAGCTATTGTTATAGCCAATTGAAAATGTCATGATGTATGTGACAATAGACTCTGTTACAAAAGGAAACATTGAGAATAAGGAAAGTGACTCTACACCAATCTACAATTTTTAGACACTTGAGCCAACACCATGACATGACAAAAAATGAAACCAGCTGGCAATGAGTAATTATGAACTGGTATCATGACAAGTGAAAATATCAAGACAAACCATGTTTCGTTGTTGATTATGCACCAGTTCAGTTCCAATTCCTAAACTATTATGACAACACAACATGCCCAACGTATCTCACTGTAGTAATCCCAAAGTGAATTTGACAAAGAGGGGGCTATTCAAAAGACCCCATGCCCTTCTCTCTCCAAAACTTATCAGATAGACAGTTACGAATTAAAGTGGCTTGGTGACTTGAATCTCGAACTGGTGGACTTCGAATCATTTGCAACAAGTTTCTTATAAATTCCCTGTCTCTTCTCTCTCCAGTCACAGGATCAATAGACCTATTTACAGTTCCTGACGCCATATTGGATTAGTAACCGCGCACACATGACAACGAGGCTGGGGTTGACTCGTGTTAAATCTCTGTGAGCGATTTTGGTGAAAATTCGCACGTGGGTAGTAAAATTGTTCGATTTTTATGGAAATGGATGGTCCTTGCCGAAATCTTGACAAAGGTAATTCTTCTTCTAAAAAAAAAGGAAAGCAGTGTGTCGTTATTGGTTGTTCAAATACATTTTATGGTCCCAATGGTTTGCCTTCGAGCTTGCACTTCTTCAAGTTTCCGAAGGATACGAACAGAAGACGCCGATGGTACAATGTCATCAAACGTCAGCATGGGAAAGATGGCTTTTTCGTGACAAATTCAACGGTGGTTTGCTCAAAACATTTTCGAAAAGAAGACATACGGAAAACTTTAACAGGCCGCTGGGAATTAGTGTCAGGTTTGTCTTCAAAAGACTATATTAATCTATCACTACATTTTTTGCTGATCACCCTAATTTCGATTTCACCACCAAATTGTTTTTATCGGATATTATGTTTATTGGTTGCTCTATTTCAACTTATATTTCAATGAAATATACGAATAAAGGCCACCAAGATTATAAGACTTGATGCATGCCTCTTTATTTTGTCTTGGACCCAAATTTATTAACCTAAATGAACCTGATGTTATTGTTTCATGTATTTTCAGGTTCTGAACCATCCCAGTTTACATGGACGGTGGAAACTCCGAAGAGGAAGCCCCTCCAAAGAAGAAGGCTTTTCACTTCTTTAACATCTAGAAGTTTAAAAACTGTTGAAGAGGAAGATGAATTTTGTGTTGAAAGTGGAGAAGGTGCTTTAAATGATACTACTTCAGCTTCACCAGATGCTGCTATAAATGTGAGTATGCCAGACCTGCCGGTGGATCCTGCAGCTACAGTGCTAAATTTACTCAGCAGAGTTGAAATGCTAGAAAAGCAAGTGTCCACACTGGAGGAAAAGGTATTGCAGTTGGAGAAGGAAAAGCAAGCTTTGCTTGCTCGCCAGTTTTCTCTGAACAAAATTAAAGGCGACAATGCAGCAATGCTTTTTTACACTGGCTTTCCCAATTATGAGGCTTTGATGAGCTTTTATAATTATATTGAACCCAAAGTCAGTAAAATGCAGTACTGGAAAGGAGAGAAACTCTTGAAGGAAAGTCAGCCCCATCAGATGGATAACAACAAAATTAAACCAGGACCTTGACGTACACTCACCTACCTCGAAGAGTTTGTTCTTGTCCTATTGCGACTGAAGGCAGAATTGTTTGTACATGATCTTCCTGACAGGTTTGGAATAAGCACAAGTCTTGTTTCACGTATTTGCATTACATGGGTAAATTTTCTTTCCATGGAACTTCCTGGACTCTTTCCCTTCCCATTACAAGAATTAGTCAGAAAAAAACATGCCTCAAGAGTTTTCTGAATATCCTACCACAAGAATTATTTTGGATTGCAGTGAAGTATTTATACAACGACCATCTGCAATGCTGGCACAATCTGAAACTTGGAAAGATTACAAACACCATAACACATGGAAAGTGTTGGTGGGTGTTACTCCCAATGGTCAGGTGTCCTTTATTTCAGACTTGTGGGGGGGACGAGTTTCAGACAAGCAAATCACACGCGGAAGTGGTGTTCTCAATCTATTAGAGCCTGGTGACAATGTCATGGTTGACAGGGGCTTTGATATTTCAGATACTGTGTCAAATGGCGTAATAGTAAACATGCCTCCTTTCTTGGCTGGAAGAGATCAGATGACTGGGGTAGAAACTCAGGAAACTATGAGCATAGCCTCTTTGCGCATACATGTCGAACGAGCAATTGGGAGGATAAAGACCTACCATATACTGGATGGAACACTTCCAAACACTTTGAGCTCATATGCCTCACAGATTGTCAAAGTCTGTGCCTCATTGACAAACTTTCTTCCTCCATTATTAAAGTCAACTTATCAACAGTAGTTTAATTGAAATACTCCAACCCACAGACAAAAAAGGTTACAAGGACGTTATATAATTTAACCCTTTCACTCGCAGGATCCCTTTAGTTACTCTTCCCACGGTCTGCTATACATTTCTTATGATACAAGTTTGGAGAATTTGGTTTTGAATCAACTAGTAATTCCCTATTTGAAGTTTTCCTTTTCTGTTTGATATTGTATTGATATTTTAACGAGAAATTCTCTTTTGATCACTTATGGGAGTTTCAGAATTCAAAGGTTTTAATGGGCCCTGCTAAATCTTAACTTCAGTCCATTTGCTGAACATGAATATTGCCCATATGGCTGCCACCCACCATGGAAGTACAAAATTTTGCCTCTTTCAACCCTTTTGGTTAGCATTTCAGGATAGAGAGCCCTTTTGAAAAAAGAATTCATGTCTAGGTAAGAGTTCTTGATTCCAGCGAAGGCTTTCCATAAGAATTTTCTCTTTGAAAAGAGGCATTTCCTCACCAAAGTACACAATAACATGAAT